CACCCCGGAAATGCATAGTCCTATTTCCTACTTCAAAGACAAGATCCATAAAGTGCAACAATAGAAAGTGTTTCAACTCGGACTGTCAGTAGGTGATTTTTTCCCCAGCCAACTGTGTGTATGTATCTCTTTCACTATTGAGCAGCAAACTGAAGCACACCCCCTCCCCCACCCCCACTCACACATACACTGACCTGTCCAGAGCATAGTAAGAGCCAATGGAGGAGCCCGGGTTCAGGACGAACTTTCCCTCGTGCTCCACGCACACTCACACACAGACACAGACGCAGACACACACACACACACTCACTCTCTCTCTCTCTCTCTCTCTCTCACACTGACCGGTCCAGAGCGTAGTAAGAGCCAGTGGCAGATCCCGGGTTCAGGAAGAACTTTCCCTCGTGCTCCACACACACACACACATACACACACACTGACCTGTCCAGAGCGTAGTAAGAGCCAGTGGCAGAGCCCGGGTTCAGGAAGAACTTTCCCTCGTGCTCCACACACACACATACAAACACACACGCACACACACACTGAGACTGACCTGTCCAGAGCGTAGTAAGAGCCAGTGGCAGATCCCGGGTTCAGGAAAAACTTTCCCTCGTGCTCCACACACACACACACACATACACACACTGAGACTGACCTGTCCAGAGCGTAGTAAGAGCCAGTGGCAGATCCCGGGTTCAGGAAAAACTTTCCCTCGTGCTCCAGCGCCTGGAACTTGTGCGTGTGTCCAGAAATGAGGATGTCCACGTCCAGCTGTCGCTGCACCATCGCCAAACTCTCGATGTCGCCCCACGGCACCACCTGGTGTCCATGACACAGGCCGATCCGGAACTGGCCGACGGTCACGACCTTCTGCTCGGGGTAGTTCATGTTCTGACAGGCATAGAGGAGGAAAAGAGAAACCGTTGAACCCATAATTTCAATAACAATTTAAACATTCATAGTATGCACAGAGTAAAACCCTGATAGTTTTTGTTTTACTAAGAGTTTTACGGCACTTGCAACACAATAAGGTCATATAAGTGCCAAAGATTAGAGGTGTCACAACACAAAAAAGAAGGAGGAGAGATAAGGACGATAGATGTTTGATAGGAAAGAAGAAGCAAACCACACCAGAGCACCCGCCAACCACCCACGTAAGAGTTTTACGGCACTTGCAACACAATAAGGTCATATGAGCGCCACAAGATTAGAGGTGTCACAAGAGAGTAACAAACACAAAAAGGAGAAGAGATAAGGACGATAGACATTTGATAGGAAAGAAGAAGCACCAGAGCACCAGCTAACCACCCACTAACAATAAATCATCACACAAAATGATTACAAGAAATGTGAAAAAATGTCAATTTTCCATTACTTAAACTCAAAAGATACTCAAAAAATGGAATCAAAAAACACTATCTTAAACTCGCTGCCTTTGTTTGATTAAATTTTACATACAAGCCAAGGGAATTTAGATATACTATTTTTATGATGTGATGAAAGCAAAATAGCACAACACAGAGACAAGTAATCCATCTGAAGGTTAGCCTTTGTTCCAGATTTTGCACTAAGTTTTAACCCTATTCGTACGTTGTGTTTTACTATCGTATCCATACGACGTGGGGAACTCTGTGCCACCACTTACTCATTTATCCGATCCGTACGCTTTGCATAGTAGTCTGTCAAAATTATTTTTTGAGAAATACTGAAAGTTTCAAAGAGATCTTCGCAGAAGTATTCTAAAATGTGAAAAATACAACCCTGGGGGTACAAAATGACCCCAGGGCACACGGATACGGTTAATTACATGATGCATACCTCATCAAAATCTCCCCGCACTACGTGGACATCGCTGGCAAGCGTTTTGAGATAGTCAAACGATTCTTTGGTGCACAAGTTGCCCGTGCATAAGATGTGCTGAATTTTTCCCGGCACCAGCAACTTCTTGAACCGGGCGGGCAGAGAGTTGCATCGGTGAGGAATGTGCAAGTCCCCCAACACAAGAACCAGCTGAAAAAGAAAAAAGAACCATATATTTCTGCATGTGGTTGAATGATGCATCTGATGTGATAAGTACATTTTGTTAGCTTTAACTTCTCTTTTCATATGGATAAATTCAATTTTAATGAGAGTTTACAATTAAATATTTTATGTATACCTGCATGTGTGTTTTTTACGGTCCTGTACAGCAAAGAAAAATTTCCCTCTGGGATAATAAAGTATTATCTTTCATATCTTATCAATTGGTTACCAGGGTACAACATAAGTCTATGACTATGTGTGCAGCTTAAGCAAGAAAGTCATGTCACGCAAAATTAAGTCATTTCAAAAGGAAGTAGAATTTTTTTTCAACAGTTGAAACCATTTCTACACAGTAAGCTAATTAATTTGTGACCCTGCACGCAATACACCATTTTGAGGGTAGGGAAATTGGTCTTTCAGTTGGGGCGCTGGGAAATCTCCGATTTGGTCTCAAGAGTAATGATTTAATAATACTAGCAGCTTTATATGGGATAGAAGGGTTAGGGTTAGGGCTAGGGTTAGGGTTAGCCAGGGGTAAGGGAAGGACTGTAGGACAATATGATAGTATAGTAATCAGTGGGGCCAAAACCGGATTATCCCAAAGCCTGTATCCTAAATAATTATATTAGGGTCGAGTGTAAAGTCACTCTTAAATTCAATACAAGAACAAAATCTCAAGCAGATCCACTTTTTCTGTTCTAATTCTAAGGAATTCGGGAGGAGAGGCAGGTTGGGACAGTAGGCTACAGGAATGCGTGTCAAAGATTTCATTGAGAAAGACAGGCTACAAATATATATGTAAATATGAATGAGAGAGTCTTTACTAACATGAAAATACACTACCACACTTATACTATACACTGTGACTGTAGTTGTAGGCCTTACTATCTTTTCATAATTTCCGAGTCGGAGTGTGGTTCAAGAGAGTTGAGACTCACTCAGCACTTTTAACATAGCCTCTGTAATGTTAAAATACACTGGCATGTCCCTACTGCCCTACTGCCTAAGTTAAGTTTGATTCTTGGCATGGTACAAGACGAAGACTTATTTATGACAATAGTGTCAATAGTATTAGATCTAGATCTAGATCTAGATATCTAGTTTTTTTCATCAACTTGCTGGGCCTGGGCATAGATTCTAGATCTAGATTTCTAGATCTAGATTTAGATCTAGATTTAGATCTAGTAAACTCAGTTAGTTGCTGTTGTGGGCTGTTGTGCAGTGCCAGTGGGGAAGGACTATAACGATCGACCACCCTAACAAACACAATAAAGAAGGAAAGTGGCTATTCTCACCCGCCCGGAAGTTCTCGCAAGATCAACTCCTCCCCTC